ACACGCCGCGATAAAAACATTCACATGGATTCAACCCAACGACGTTTACGTCACATTTAATGAGCTCAAACAAGAATGTTGTGACTAATCACTGCAGAGCTAATGTAATTTATATACATGTACATACATATATATATATATATATATATATGTGTGTGTGTGTGTGTGCTGTGTTTATGAAACATCGTCTTCCTCTAATTGTTCTTCTTTATATTGAATTATATTGTTTTTCCTCCTTATCTCTGTCCTGCTTTTGATTCGTTTGTAAAAGCTCTTTGTAAACTCTGATTTTAAAAGTGCTACATAAATGAAGTTATATATATCCATATTATATACACACACATATATATATATATATATATGTATATATATATACATATATGTATATATATATATACACACACATATATATATGGACCTTCCTCCATAAAGAGGACTCTTTACTTGTGGAACTAAGTGATGTTACAGGCTGGTAAACATCAGTGTGTGGATACGTGTGGCAGCAGAACATCATCAGTCTGTTGTAGTTGTTCATTTAAACACAACACGTGTGTCTGGAGTCAACAGTTTGGTTCAACCTGCTGCTGTTTCAGCTCCCTCCTCCCCCCTCCTCCCCCCTCCCTTGTGCAGACTCGGGGGAAGGCTCGTGTGTCCTCAGTAGTCACGCCCCTGAGCCACGTGCCTCCTACACAGCCGGCTCCACAACGAGACCGGCCCAACAATGGGCCGCCTACACTGACACACTCCCCCCTCCCTCTGCCTGCACTCTCACGTTCCCGCCATTCATAACCCACACACACACACACACACACACACACACACACACACATTGATCTATCAGCTGTTATCTCTGACCCTGTGGATGTTTCATTGACAGACACAAACAGAGGAGGATGATGAAGCTGCTCTTCCTCCTCGTGTCGATCATTCAGTGAAATAAGGAACGTTCATGTCTGTGACTCCACATGTCAGTGAATCAGTGACTCTGTCCAACACTAACACACACACACACACACACACACACACACACATATAATGTACTGTAAATATATAGTAAATATACATGAATATTGATCTCAGTGTTTGTTGAACATTATTTTTCTAAAACTTTCCAAACGTCCACAAAGAGACACGATCTCCGTCTGTCAAACACACAACTAGAACCCGATACAAAGCTGAAAACATGTTCCTTATCAGTATATTCTTTATCTGGTAGGTCGGCAGGTTGTTGGTCCATTAGTAGCAGAGTGATAAATACATAAATATAAATACATGAATGAATAACCAGATCTGGTTCTAATGGAGACCGTTGATCCAGTGTTTACTCTTTAAAATAAGAAAGATGATAATCCTGTTTCTCCATGTCCAGGTGAGACGTCCTCAAACACCAGGACCTGGATCTGGGACATGCTGTCCTGCAGCACCAGACAGACACAAACAACTCTGTATCTCAGCACACAGCTGGACCGGGTCACATCCAGACCCACAGACATGAGGGTCAGTCCAGGTCCAGGTCCAGGTCCTTGGTCTCGACGTGAGTCAGAAAAGCTACATGAAGCCTGTGAAGGACAGGAGACAACTACGACCCCCAGGGTGCATTTCACTAACAGCCAGCCTCTAAATTAATGGTCAGTTCAAACCACTACTGCTCTGCTTGTATCCATCTCGATAGTAACAGCAGCTGAGGCTCATGGGTATTGTAGTATAGTTACACTGTCCAGGAGAGTCTCCCACGTCTGGAACCAGCAGCTGCTCAAACTTTACAATAAGGTACAAGTCAGCAGAGTCCACTTTGATCCAGAACCATGACAAATCCAGAACAATCCAAAACCACAGAGACACAAACTACAAAGAGACACAAACTACAAAGAGACATGAAGAACTTAGAATTTAAAGCCAGTGTCTCTGTGACTGAGGGTGTCCTGGTTGTGGGGGGGTGGGGGTGGGGGGGGTCTGTTACACGTCAAAAGAAACACTCGGAGACACACAGTCCGTCCACTGTCACTGGTGTCACATGACCAGGTGCAGCAGCTAATCCAACACACACAAACATGACTGTAAAGTGGTCGTCATGGTGACAGGTGAAGACTGTGGCGACTCTGGACCTGTTACCCCCCTCTAATGCTGACTCTCACCCTGCCCCCGCCTCACCCTCCATCTACCGGCCTGAAACCACGGAGAAAACGAGAGGAGCTGATTGGTTCCTGCTGCTGCTACAAAACTTCACATGACAAAACCAGCATGAAGAAGAGGAGACCGATATAAACACTCTGAGTTCACACTGGAATCAACCTGATATTAGTTCTGCTATTGATCGGTGATAACTGATCAAACCAGGGAAGAAGCCATGACGTGACGTCTCTCTCCTGGACGCTGTGAGTCAGTTCCACCTCCGTCCTCTGTCTCAGAGTTTGATAAACCATCAGATTAATGGTGTGAAGATCTATGAGTCCAGATCAGGATCCGGTTGTTATTGGACCAATCAGTGTGTCATGTGATCAGATGACTTCCTGTTTCCTTTTGTATGAAACAGAGTCAGACAGAGTCTCAGTCTTTATATTTTATCGTTTATCATATAGTTTGTTTGATTCTGTAGTTATATGAGGTGTGGTCCTGTATATGTGTATATATATGTATATCTACAGTACATATATACATATATACACATATTTATACATATACACACTGAACATGTGACCTACATGTTACACACTGTCAACAAATGTTTTCTCTCAGTCACTGATTTCTGCTGCTGCTTCAGTAACCAGTGAAACAAACTGATGCAGGAGGAGGAGGATTATGCAATGAGCTCAGTCTGATCAGCAGCCAATCACAGCGCGCGGAGCCCAGTGAAAACAAAGCGCACATGGCTCGGTTTGCCGGTCCATGTGAACCGGCAATGGCCGCTCGGGTGGCACGCGCTCACGCACATGCACACACACATACACACCCCGAGCCGATCCACCTGACACCGAGCGACCCACCGACCGACCGCTGCCATCATGACCCAGTTTCCCCGAAACACAGCCGGGATCACGGTGACGGTCCCCGTGATGACCCGCCTCACACGCGGAACTGTGGGTTTACCTCCTCCTGTCCCCGCAGCTGCTTCATGTCCCGTTTTCACACGTTTCTCACCCGCTGCACGCGGGCAGGTGGCAGCTCAGCGCGGGACCCAGAAACCGCACAATCAGTCACCACGGAAGCGGAATGTCAAAACGCGCCGCGTCGCATCGAAACACCGGGAAACTCAGAACAAGCATCAGACTGAAGTGAAACAGCGACGCGCCGCAGCTGCGGCAAGAGCTTTAATTCACTTACTTTGTTGACGCTGTTTAGTTTCCATGTTTACCGCCTCTGCGTCAGACTCAGTTCATTAAAGGTGTACTTGTTGATTTTATTTCCCACTGACAGAGAGCTCTGACAGGTGGACTGGTGCAGTTTTCACCTGCATAAGACGCGCGCCGCCGCTCTCACCTGCGGCCTGACGCTCTTCCTGCAAAACCTGACACGTTTTTTTCACAAATATGCTCTGACGTCAGAGGTGACGCTGACAGTTTCTGTCTCAAACTCAGACTGACACTTCTGCACTTTAAACACTCAGGTTCGACACACGCACGCCGCGCGCGCGCACCGCTTCTTGTAACACCTTGCTTTGATTGCGGAGGGAAGGCAGGAGTGCGTGAGGGAGTGTTGTTTACCTGTGTTGTTGTTGTTGTTGTTGTTGTTGTTGTTGTTTGTTTCCATGGCGGTCGCCGTCATCCTGAGCTCCAACAGAGTCACGATTTAAAAATCCCGGAGCCTTGCCGCACCGCCGCGCGCATCACCGGCAGGAGGACTGAAACACTGCAGAAGAAGAAGAAGCGTCTCTACTGTGACTCTACTCCTGGTACTCTGTGTTTCTACTGACTGACTGTCCGCAGCACGAGGAGCTGTCAACTGCTGCACGCGCTTCGCTCTCTCGCTCTGTATGTTTTTTCAAACAGAGCGCGCGCACTGCTGGATGATGATGAGGTGAATGTGGAGGTGGGAGGGAGGGAGGGAGGGAGGGGGCGTTCCCGCACGCGGCAGAAAACGGGACCATGTGACCGCGGGGAGAGCCTCGTGCCCCAGTGACACACTTTCCCGCCCCTCCTCTCCCTCCTCTGTGTAGTAGGTACTACTTTAAATCCCCGAGCACGTGGAGCTGCCCGCTGTTCTCCGACACAGAGGGGCATCATGGGAAGTGTAGGCGGCCTGATTCACTTGTAGTTTTGGCAGAGAGCAGGTGACTATATGTTTTAATATCACTGCAGTAAAAAGCTGAAAGAGTGAATTGTTGTGTTTTAGCATCATCTGTTACCATGTGACACTGGGGCCCGGAGGACAGGTAAGAGGCCCCGAGGGCCCGCCCACTGAAAGACAGTGGTTGTTGTGTGTCGCTTTGTGTCTTTTTTTTCAATCTTTACTTTAATCTCTTGTCTATAGGACGCAGGTGAGACACAGGTAGGTGCAGGTGCAGGTGAGTGTCTGTGTGGACTGTTTGCAGCAGCTGCACCTGAACAGAAACAACAACCTGTAGGTTTACTCTTTGTTGGACTTTAAACTAACACAGCTAAAAAAGCCATAAAATAACAAAATACAAATGTCAAATTATCCAACGATGCTGTCGAACAATGAAGAAACATGAAGCTCACACAGAAAAACATCCAATGTATTTATTTAATATCCTGTAAATATCAATTATCCAGGCAAGAGTCTGAGTGGAAAACAATCTGATTTTACTTCACTGCATCAGTTCACTTCTTCTGCTTTCAGCAAAAGGTTTTGTTTTCTTTAAGCATTAATGATAATAATAATAATGATATATATATGATATATATTATATAATAATATAATATCTGCTAGTCAAACAATGTGGGCGCTTGACAGGAAAATGACAACTGTGTCGTTCTGAAACCAGCAAAGACACTTTGTTCTGGGTGGAAGACAGAGTCCACTGTCTCACTGACATGTAAAAGATGTGACTGATATATAACAGAATGTATTTAATGATGAAGTATTTCACCCCCTATAGAAAACTCTCAGAGATCAGTTCACTGCAGTTTGTGTTGCTGACAGACTGAAGTGGTAAAAACAGATTCTCCAGACGTCACTTCAGCTCCAGCTTCAGTCTGCTGCTGCTCTCCTGTTGGATTTCAGGTTTCACAGATGAAGTGGAAGTAAACTCACTCATGGTGCTTTTACTTCACCTGGGTCTGGGGTCTTCCTGACTGCAAGGGCGCAGGTTTGCAGCATATGGGCAGCAGGAACATGTCCCTTCGATATCTGAGTCCGATGTGCCTTCCCAGAGGCCACGTCTCCAAGACGACCGACTACAACCGAAGTCTGAAGTCATGTACAAATTTCTGACTTCCTGCCAGACACAGAGGAGGAGAGAGCGCATCGGTGTCAGTTACCAGTGTCAGTCCAGACCTCAAACAAGGGCGAGAATGTATTTCAGATAAATAAAAACCTGCTATAGCTAGATTTTTATTTAAATGTAAATGCAGATCATATATTAATAAACTATTGTGTTGAGTTTTCTTGTTTTTCTCTGTAACTGTGTCATTACACTTTGAAATCAGCTGACAGCCAGGGCCGTCCGTCTCGTTCTCCTGGACACAATCTCTCAGAAACACCATGAAGGAACATATTCAGATCTGGCACAAACATTCACCTGGACTCAAGGACGAACTGATTAGACTTTGGTAGTCAAAGGTCAAAGGTCACGATGACCTCATAAAACACTTTTTAGCCACAAGTCGAGACCTCACAGAAATTATGACAAGATTTCACACAAATGGTTCCTAGTTAATATGACTCTGGATAAACAGGGATGTGACCTGGAACTAGTTTGAGTGGCGGAGGGATACGACCACAAGGAAGTGATTGTAGTTTCTGTATCATGTGATCAGTCACAGGCAGCAGTGTGTGTGGAGGATGAGACTGAGGGCTCAAGGAGATGGAATAAAGAGGCCTGTTGGTTGATGGTAGGAAATACATTCAGTGTGTTTATTAGAGCTCATGGATTCACTCAGTCACACTGAACGTGAGCACAACTTTTGTTTGTTCAGGAGGAAACTCCACAGGGAACCTTTAAAGTGAAAAACCCTGAGGCCGGAGTCTGAGTCAAAACAAGACTGGGACAAGTCCAAGATTACAGAGACTGGAGGACTGCAGCCCTGGTCCTGGTTTACGGGTCACATGTTCAACTGTCACATATGGAGGAAGTGTTTGAGTGTCTGCAGACTTTTGTCCATGTGGAGTATCTCTGTAGTCTGAACAGCCTGTCTCACTGGACGTTAAAGGATGCTCTCTGATGAACCAGACTCTGTCCTCTGTCTGCTGTACCTGTGATCATAATAAGCCTCCAGATATTCCTCATAGTCGCCGTTGTCCAGCGTTCGATGCCACTTTGAATCTTCATCCACCAGGAAGTGATAGTTGTTGTGTTGGCCCATGATCATCTCGTGGCGGCACTTCTTTCCGACCCTCTCCCTGTGCTTTGTGAACAGTGTGTCCAGGTCGCTCCGGTAAGCCGAGAGGAGTCTCTCCACAGCATCACAGGTTTGATTCCCCCTGAGTCTCACCAGGTGGATCAGCATCTGGATGTGGAAGGCCGCCCCGTTGACCCAGGCCTTCAGAGCCGGAGACGACATCTGTCTGTCCCTCACCATGGACTTCTTCAGCTTGGTGAGGGCTTCACTCAGCTTGAACTGGATCTGCTTGATGTTGCTCCTCAGCTCGTCGTTGTTGTTCATGTGCATCACACACCTGTTCAGACACAGGTCGATCTGATCCCAGACCTCGGAGGCCTTCTCCTCTGCTAACACACACCTCAGAGTGTCCTTTGTGCTCTCTCCTAGCTTATTACCTACAGTATTAACCTGGCATTACAGCCAAGGTAAGGTGACCAGGTCATGGACGTAGTGACTTGGTATTTAATGTTACTCCAGAAGAAACTTGATGATTCATCTTATTTACAGTTTATCCTCAGACTGACTTTAATCATTGAAAATTATTTCTAATGTTTCTTTTTTACTCTAGTTTGTTTACATTTTACCTTGTTGAATTTCACTTTAGGGCGTCACTTTAACCAAATTTCTCTGCAGGTATCAGCGTTTCTTCTCATACTAATACTTTATTTATGGTTCAGTTAAAACAGATAGAAAGTTATCCTGGGTCTGTTGAACCTGCTTCCTAGTTCAGATCTCTGCTTCAACGATCCTGACAGTTCTACCTCACCTGCTTTTATACTGAAAAACTCAGACAGGAAGAGTTACATATTAATAATCTGTCTTTATGTTTTTTCAACCATCTTTAAAACCAATTTGAGTCACTTACAAATATAAACAGACATCACAAACAAGTCTCTTTTTATATCTGCATAGTCTTTGTATCATGTATAAAAAAATATCTCAGCAAATAAATGAAAACATAAATGTAGAAACTAAAACAGGAAAGTTAAAAAGTTGCACAGAGATAAAAAATAAATAAATAAAATAATTAAATAAATTATATAAAGGAGAAAGAGGCATTTTATATTAAGTGTTAAAAATAAAAAATCCTGTACCAAGCCTTCAGTTTACACCGATTTCTTATTGTCAATTAATTTCACAGCTTCAGTAAAGTTTTGTAATACAGTGATCAGTACAGTCGGCCTCGTGCATGGGGGAGATTTGGATCAGGACCGCAACACGTGACGTCATAAACACAACATGTCATTCAAATAAATTTACCGCCTAAGTGACTTTGTTTACCGTTGTTGAAAACCGTCACTTCCCGGGTAAAACTCGGCGAGGGTATGACCTGAGTTTTTCTGATGAGTGACGTGTAATGTAAATGATGACGCAGTTCGGTATGGGAGAGAAAATGGCCACTATTTTCGACCCTGTTCTCTCCGTGAGTGTTTAAACGGTCCACTGTGCAGGTAAAGGGAGTGGCCCCGTGTTTAACAGCCACACCTGAGAGGCCACACTGTTTACAGCTGAGGTCAAAGGTCAAACAGTGAACGGGTGTGTCAGTTTACCTTAAACCAGCCAATAGAAAACTCTCTTAGATTAAGATCAGGTGGTTTGTCTGAGTGACAGACTGAAGTTCAGCTGTTTCAGGTTCACCTCAGGTTTTCTCCACACGTCCCTTCAGCTCCAGCCTCAGTCTGCTGCTGATCTGCTGATTCACTGATGATCTCAACAGTTTCACCGTGGACCTGAGAGGAAACTCAGAGCAGCACAGACACACTGGTGGCGCCCCCTGCTGCTCAGCTGCTGCACTACAACACGTGTCGTCCATCAGATGTTTAGAGGCTGACCCCTGGTCAGTCCTGAAGTCAGGACTCCTTTGAAAGTAACTAAGTACATTTACTCAAGTACTTGTAGTTTACATGAGTATTTTCTGTTGCTTTATACTGCAGAGAAATACTGCACTTTTACTGCTCTACGTTTATTTGATAACTTTAGTCACTTTGCAGATTCAGATCAATTACACAAAATATAGTCAATAAATAAATGATTCAATAAATTCACAAATGACCAAGCAGCTTTATATGAAGTCTTTAAAGTGATGAACATGTTAATGCAGCAATAACTATAATTCAGCAATACAATATACATGATTCTGTATAGTACTTTTACTTTTGGTACTTCAAGGATCAGAGCCCTTCTGTTTTATATGTTGATGCAAGTGTAATGATTTAATATGTGTATTAATAAACAGTTATATGCAAATGTTCTGCCACCTCTGGTCAAATTACAGGTTTAAAAAAGTAAATTAATAATAAAAATATAAAATTTTGTTTAAATGTTAATCCATTGGTTGAATGAAAGTTTTATCTATATAAACATATATATGATAACTATATATTATATATATATATATATATATTATATATCATGTATATAACACATTCGAGGGAAGGACATTGAGGTGGTGCACACTTATAAATACCTAGGTGTGCACCTGGACAGTAAACTGGACTGGTCCCTGAACACGGATGCCATCTACCTGAAGGGGCAGAGGCGGCTCTTTTTCCTCAGGAGGCGCAGGTCCTTTGACGTCTGCAGTGAAATGCTGCACATGTTCTATTGGTCAGTGGTGGCCAGTGAACTCTTTTATGCTGCAGTCTGCTGGGGCAGCAGTATGCCTGACATGAACACGAGGAGACTGGACCAGCTGGTCAAAGAGGCTGCGTCTGAGAAGCAGCTACAGAAGCAAACGTCTCATCTCACTGCGCTGCAGAACAGAGAGGTTCAGGAGATCCTTTGTTCCCACTGCCATCAGGCTATACAACACCTCAGCTAAAGGAAGTGGACTCATCTAATTATTATTGTTTATTTATTATCAACCGTTATTATTATTATTATTATTATTATTATTATTATTATTATTATTAATATTATTATTATTATTATTATTATCAACAATGAGCTAATGGACACACGAATTTCCCCTAGGGGAAAAAATAAAGTACCTATCTATCTATCTATCTATCTATCTATCTATCTATCTATCTATCTATCTATCTATCTGGGTTTTATTATCTACAATCTACACAGAACCAGCAGTACATTTGCGAAAACATGTGCAAAGCATGACGGGAAAACTTCAGCTTGTAGTTCTGGGGCCGAATTCTGTTCCTGCTCAGTTCAACGTCTGTCCTGCAGACGGCGCTGGCAGCCGCCATTTTCCTCGGAGCGGAAGAAGGAAGAGCAGAGGGAAAACATTCATCTCCGGTGGAAAAAATCCTCCACAAACACCGAATCTGTGCGATGGAAGTCCCGGGACCGGACAGCGACTGGAGGAGCCCCCAGTTCCGACAGAAAGTCGTCGCTCAGATGTGAGATATTTACGCTCCGGGTTGTGTTTTCAGCTAAAATCACTCTTGCTGCGTCTGTTAGCCGAACGAGCTAAGCTAACGTTAGCGCGGCTGGAAGGAGCGTCACATCGAACCGTGCTCAAAAAACCGCTAAGTTAAGACAGAGATGTGAAAAAACAGAATTAGCACGGGTCCGTGAACATGGCACACGATATATAACGACAGGTCCGGGTCCAGACTTTAATTCGGCGTACATTATATTAACAGAAATAACACGTAGTGTACTAAATTCTACCAAATGTCATCGTTAGCAGATGATGCTCATCAGTTCATACAAAGTTAGCTTCACAGATAAATATCATGAGAGCAGTGATTGATCTGAAATGTGTCATCGGTTAGTGTAATGAACCTTGTTGAGATGCGATAATTAAATTGTTAATTGATCAGTCGATCAACAGAAAAATGATCAGCAACTGTTTTGACAAAGCAAAATAAATGTCAGAAATTCTGCTTCCAACGTCTTAAATGACTCTTCTCTGCTTCTCTTTGTTTTCTGTTTTTATAAAGTGAATATCTGTATATCTGTAATATAAGATTTGTTTACTCTTTGTAGACTTAATGATCAATCAGGTGAATGACTGGTGGATTATTTGGTGACCATAAACAGGATTGAACAGCTGAAGTGATGAACATCACCATGTCTCTGAAATCAAGCAGAAGTAAAACTTTTATGAGTCAGAAAAGGTTGAATCCAATTTTTGGGTTAAATGTTGAAAATGAATCTTGAAAATTACTGAGCAGTGAATCTATATTTATTCACCATTCATGAAGTAATTCAGGCTGGATCTCCTGACTCACTTTGATTCTTGATGACTCAGTAAAGCTCTTCTCAGAATTCATCCTGGGGAACCTTTAACACATTTATCAAAGCGACTAACACACGACACATCTGTACTCTTTAGGTCCATGTGTGCTAAACAGATCAACAAGAATAATAAAAACATGGACTGTCTGTAACAGACAGTACAGATGTCTGACAGCTGCAGACAGATGTGAACTGTTCACTTCAACAGAGATAAAACCTCCACAACAAACAAACGATTTCAGATCAGTCCAGAATCAGTGAGCCGTCCTGAGTCACCACAGTTCCATAACCTGTAAATAAGAATCACAATTAATTGGAAAATTGATAAATGTTTTGTAGAAATAAACTCACACTGTGGGAGGGAAGTAAAAGGCAGAATATGGTAAACACAGAAACATGTCCTGACTGCAGGACGCACCAAAGACGGCTACCATCACTTCCTGGACGTGTCCTCCTTCATTTATTTGACTGTGTTGACTTTGTAAAATAATGTGTGTGATTCCCCATGTTTCCCTCCAGTGAAGAGGCCATGAGAAAGGCGGGAACAGCGCACACCAAGTCCAGCAACGACATGGAGAACCACGTGTACGTCAAAGCCAAATCCAGAGTAAGTTCTCAAGAAACATGAAAGATCCATACGGCTTTTACTTTTTCCACCGGGGAGGGGTTTACACAGCCGAGGACTCAAACGCCTGATTGTAAATATAAAAAAATGATATGTTTTTCAATTGCTCCTATTTACATTACCTAACATTTCTTCATAGTATTAATGAGCCATTGAGGAAATTCATCTGACTCCAACTTAAACCCCATTCAGACAGGATGAAAATCCTGGTGTGTCAGATGTGAACACACAGACCTGAACCACATGTTGATATGATTCACTGTGACATCACTTCCTGAGGATATTGTCATCTCTGTTCCTCTCCAGAATAAAGCTCCAGAGAAACAGACACTCCTGCAGAACTTCATAGAGAATCCTCCTGTTTTTAAGTTTCTTCAGTATCACAGTGAAACATTGACAGTTGTCTGAACATCATGATTCACTGCAGGCGGGAGCTGATCACAGCTGATCACAGCTGATCACAGCTGTTTGAGCTGAACAATCTCTAAATGTGTTTTTTTCCCAGGAGGAGTATTTGTCTCTGGTGGCGAGGCTCATCATTCACTTCCGAGACATCCGTAAGTATTTGAAACGGGACCAAACTCTGGAGCCCTTAGTCTTTAATTGGATCAAGCTCCAGAGTTACCAGGTCTGAGTCTGTTCAATCCAACAGGAGAAGTGAACCTGATCACTGATTATGATTCTTTAGCCTCATAGTCACCCAAATAAATAGTGGATCCATTTTCACAAGCCACAGATCTTCAGAACATTCTGATATTAAAATGACATTTTTCAGACACATCAGGAGAAAATGAACTTTGTGAGACCTGTCTGTCTCAGCAACAAACTCTCACAAGATCTCTCAACACAGATCTTCTCTCTGTTGGTCAACACTTTCCAATCACAGAGAGTTAGAAGGACTTAAATGTGCAACCATGAATTAGAAGTTAAAACTGAAATAAAACTTGTTTCTTTGCTTAATAATACGATGGAAGGGAAATCGAGACTATGAGGCTGATATGATCTTGTAGTGGGTTGATCAGATAAGCGAGCTCAGTGTTTCCAAACCTGTAGTTCGAAAATTTGAAAAGATGTAATTATATTGAAAAATATAAATAATGTTTTAAAATGAAATGATCTTTAAAAACATTTAAAATGTTATAAAACTCCTTTCATTGTTATTTTTATTGTTATTTTTAAAAACCTTGTATTAAGGCCTATCACTGTGATCAGCCAATAGTAGGAATTTTTATGTTGTCACTGCTGAACCACATCGTATGCTTGTTTGCCCTTTCAGTCCGATTGTGCACTGACACATTTCATCCATGGCAAAAACTGAAGTATCAAAACAGGCAGCTGGTTAGCAACAGGAAGAGTTAGAAAGGACAGAGTCAAGAGTCAGACGGCGAATCGACAAAGGATCTCCTGTCAAACAGAAAAGAAAAATTGAGTTTCTCTTGTTTTCAGTTTAGTCCTGAATGTTCGATCGTTATCATTAAAATAAAAAGCCGTTTCTTGGTCTCTGTATTGTTATTGGGCGGCCAACATCTTTGAGTTTTTCAAGTGGGCCACGAGGTGGAATAGGTTGGGAACCACTGAGCTAGCTGATAAAAACGAGCAGCGAAATCAGGTGTAAATTCAAACTGTATCTGGTGTTGTATTGTTTTGTTGTTATGTTTTGACATGAACAAACAATCATGACCACGCCCACTTAGGAGACAGGAAGTGTAGACCATTTCTTACCATTGGCGCCACCTGCAATGCATCATCTTCTGTTTTAGAGGATGACGTAAACGAGACTAAAACTAAATAAAATTTCCTTCGAAAACAAGAACTGTGACATCGACAGACTGTTGTTGGATTGCAGGTGAAAAAATGTTTCGTCTGAAGCTGAATTATGGCTGAACCGACAGAGTGCTGTGGTCACAGCTGATTCAGAGTAGTTACTAATTACTCGTTTGTTATTTACAGACAAGAAGTCCCTGGGAGGTCCAGGTAAGTGGACTTTGTTGTTCTGTCTCTGTTCGGTCCACTCTTCATTTGAGTTTTCCTTTGCTGTGTTCTGTCCTCTGCTGGACCTGTCACTACCAGACTCATGGTGTTCATGATCTCTGCTGTGCATGTTGGAGCTGCGTAATATTGTCTGTTGTCTACCCTTCTGCTAGATCCCATGAATACCCTGACTAACCTGACAGGGGTTGGAGGGGGCCCTGGCGCCATTGGCATGGGGCCTCGCCCCACCGGTGCTCCAGTGGGTGGCATGGGGGCCATGGGGCCGATGCAGATAGGCCAGCATGCCATGGCAGGGGTGGCTGGAAACCCACAAGCCAGTGAGTGTGTTTCCTCCATGTGGTGTGTGTTTGCTGTGAATGCACATGCTCAGAGCGTTCAGTGGATGCTGGCTGCGTCTCAACTGCATATTTTGGCTTCGGTCTTACTTTCAGTCTCTGCTTTGGCACGTTGTGTATTTGTGTTTGAGACTCCACAGCTCGCCTCATGCTGGTTCTGAGCTGTAGACCGGGTCAGTCCTTCACCTGCTTCTTGCTCACTCTGCAGTAGGGGGTCCAGGCCAGATGCCGATGCAGCAGATGGTGCAAGCGCAGCAGCAGCAGTCCATCCAGTTCCAGCAGTTCCAGCAGCAACAGCAGCAGCAGAACGCCATGCAGCAGCAGAACGCCATCCAGCAGCAGTTCCAGGTGCAGCAGCAGCTGAGGGTGCAGCAGCTGCAGCAGCAACAGCAGCAGCACCAACAGCTCCAGCAGCAGCACCAGAACCAGCAGCAGCAGCAGGCCCAGAACCAGCAACAGCAGAACCAGGTACACCATCATGTGTAATACACCGTTACAGTTGGTAGTGTAGTACAAATACTGAACTCCTAACCTGCTGCCAGCAGTTTGAACTCCCTCAGGGCCGCAGACATTTAAACCTCTAGTTTCATAGAGATTATCTGTGGGTCACTGTGAAGTCACTAAACCCGACCCGACGTGCTCCAAGTCACTACATAGATATTACAGGAAAATTGTACTGGTCCTGAAACGATAAAGTCAGTAAACTAGCGCTCCAGTTTTTTTATCTTAATTATTTTAGTAGAGACCTCCATCCATCCATCCACCCATCTTCGTACTTGTAGTGGCAGTAGGCTAAGCGAAGTATTCCAGACATTCCTCTCTCCAGCGGGGTGGACTACTGAGTCACGTAAGACCTGATTGGCACGACCAGGAGACGATGCAACATGGTCAGAGAAGAAGAGCTGGTCTTCAAACATGAAACCAGGTTTCTGTAGACCATGAATGAGTAAGAGATGAAGAGGCGATTTTGATATTTATCGTGATGAAGACACTGATTGGATGACTAAGAGTTAAGTCTTAGATGAAGGTGGAGTTCCTTCATCATGTGGATCTGTCACAGAGATGGTGAGGTCGTCTGGTGGGAACGACAGGTATAGCTGGGTGTCGTCTGCATAGCGGTGAATATGATAATTGGACCCAAGGAGGTGGTGTATACTGTATACAGAGGAGGGGTTCTAGTACTGATCTTTGGGGCACTCCAAGGGGGGAGGGGATAGGATAAGGATGTCTGTCCTTGCCATGATGCACTGAAGGAGCAACAGTGAGAGAGGGTTAAAGCCAAGAAGGGCTTTGCCTGAGGAGCTCTGAGACAACAGACAGCAGAATGTGGTGGCTCGTCATGTCAAAGGTCTCTGATCGGTCCATCTTCCTCCAGGAGACTAGAGGGCTGAAGGGGGATTTATACTTGGTGGGGGTCACAGCGTCACTTTGATCACTGCTCTCCAACACAGTTGAACAACCTCAGCATTAGTTACCTGTTCAGTAAGACGACTTAACTCCAGTTCTACAGTACATCATCACTTCACATCACACAGTAAATGAAAGAATGTAAACTCAGTTACTATGGGGAATGAAATTGAAACACAATACTACCTGATGATGAAGACTTGAAATCACCCAACATCCTTCTTTCTGTCACTGTTTGCTTCCTGTCAGATGCACCAGACGAGGATTCAGCAGCAGCAGCAGCAGCAGCAGATGGTGCAGCTGCAGCTCCAGCAGCATGCCCAGGCTCAAGCTCAGGCTCAGGCTCAGGCTCAAGCTCAAGCTCAAGCTCAAGCCCAGGCTCAGGCTCAGGCTCAGGCCCAGGCTCAGGCCCAAGCTCAGGCCCAAGCTCAGGCCCAGGCCCAGGCCCAGGCTCAAGCTCAGGCTCAGGTCCAGGCTCAGGCCCAGACCATGCAGCACATGGTTCAGCAGCAGCAGCAGCAGGTTCAGGCCCAGGGTCAGCCTCAGCCGGGTCAGATGCCTCCACACTCTCAGCAGCAGCAGCAGCAGCCCGGCATGGTGCCTCAGTCTCTGCCCGGACAGATGACGTCCGCTCAGCACGTTCCCATCAACTCGCTGAATCAGCAGCAGCAGCAGCACCAGCTAAAGATCCAGGCCTTCCAGGTGAGACTGAGTTCTCTGTTTGTATATCTACAGGTCGAGTTCAATCCTGTACATCATCTAATGGAAGGCACAGTGACTATTCAATTTGCTCTGTCTAATGCGAATCACAGTTCATGCATGTGTGTACAACACCTTGAATGAAATAGTTCATTTGAACCATGTTGAACCCCTTCTTTTTTTTTTGAAACTGCAAGCCTCAGACTGTCAGGTGTTTGGTGACAAAAGCTAATTTTAATAATTTTTTTAATTAAACTCTCATTATTTTAATGCACGGTTCCAGCTTTTATAATGGAACATTAACACTTGACATTTGGTCCCTTTAAAGCTCCTCCAGTGTAAAGGTCTGTGTCCATGTGTAGTGTGATTATAGATCAGCTCTAGCTTCTATATTAATACTGTGAAAGTATCAAAGCCTCAGTCCACAGAGAAATGCACACAGCCTGTATTCAGAAACTGAGCCTTAAAACCAGCCGTCAGGACTTCTGGAACTTTGTGATGTCACAACAAAGCAGACTCCGCCCACAGAGGCGCAGAGCCTCTTCTCTTCTGATTGGCTCACCGACCTGTTGTTACTAGAGCTGCAGAGAGAAGCCTGAGAGAGGAGATGTAAAACTACACTGAGAGGAACCACAAATAAAACACAGAAGAAGAAGAAACATGGAACTTTAATATTGTCTAAACAGTAAAATAAAATGCTTTAATTTTAATTTAAATCAGCAGCTGTCTGATCAAAGAGTCAATAAACAAACTTTCAGTCCAGGACAGTTTGTGCTGCTGAAACATTTTGGTCATTTCCAGATGAGTGTTTGATATCCAGCTCTACAGAGCCCATGGCATTCTGCCTCGGAAACCCCAAATCTATTGATCCAGACTATCTGCTCCAGTTTATCCCACTACAGAGATGCACCAGTCCAATATGGCTTATCATATTGGCTCTAATACCCACATTAAATACATTATTATTATGATTATTATTATTAAAGTCAGTGTTTTTGTTTTCAGTCTGAGCAGGTGGCTTTTAGTGACAAACCTCAATTTATCTTCCATAAAAAAGGAGTTCAATCAGTTCCACAGTGGGAGATTTACAGTTTTTAAAGAGGGATAAGAGGGCACTGATATCATATATAAATATATAGATATATATATAGATATATATATAAAATAGACAAATGAGACCCGAGTACAGAAACATAAAGTAAATAACCAAAAAGAAATATTAATAGTAGGAATATAAATGTTCACTGATTTAAATTAAATACAGACAGATATGTATTCATACAAACAAGTTGACATGTGTTTATATAAACAGCCATCAGAGCGTTTATTGAAATGCTTTTAAATATAAGATTTTTATATATATAAAGATACACCAGGTGGACGATAAGATGACGACCTTAACTTTCAAACCTGCAGGTTAGAAAAGACGTAAAACAATTACAGCCCAAGTCAGTTCGACTTGTGGAAACACTACGTAGTGTGCAGTAGTCTTGCTTACCCGTCACTCTGCTTGCATGCCTTGCTGTGTGTGTGTGTCTGTGTGTGTGTGTGTGTGTGTGTGTGTGTGTGTGTGTGTTGTCTGTCTGTCTGTCTGTCTGTCTGTGTCTGTGGGTCTGTCTGTCTGTCTGTCCTTCTGTCTGTCTGTCTGTCTGTCTGTCTGTCTGTCTGTCTGTCTGTCTGTCTGTCTGTTGTGTAGTGTGTGTGAAAGCAGGCCCGTGCAGTCTTGCAGCAGCAGCAGCAGGTCCAGCATGCTCAGCAGGCAGCACAGCAGGCCCAGCAGGCCCAGCAGGCAGCAGCTCAGGCGCAGCTCAACGCAGTCGCTGCAGCAGCCGCCGCCGGACCGGGACAGGTGAGACTGCAGCCACGGCAAGCTCAGGTGCTTTATGTGTGACAGCTCTACATCACATCACATGCTGCTGAACATGTGACGCTCTGGGCAAACACCACCACGGTCACTGGGGCTGAGTGTTTTTAAAATGTTGCACGATTTCTAACAGACAGAAAGGAGAGGGAGGGAGGAGCTTCAGTAACGACCAATCACTGCCCTGCTCCGTGTGAACAGTGGTGGATGTTTGTCAGAGCTGTTTGTTAGATGCAGGTTGAGGTGATGAGTTGTGCTCGTTGCTCTGCCTCCTCTCTGCTCACCTGTCCTGTTGTCTCATGTGTCTTCTGAAGTTGGGTCGTCCTGGGATGCAGATTCCTAACCGACCTCGAGCCGCCCTCAACCCCTCCATCCCTCCTCCAAATGCTGCTGCAGCTGCCGCCGCCGCCGCTGCCGCCGCCGCTGCTGCTGCTGTGGGAGGACAGCCGATGACGCAGCAGGTATTTATCCCCAGAGTGACCTCTGACCTCTGAACCATCCCTGTCCTGTCCACAGTGCGCTTCTGTCTGTCAGCGGCCTCTTCGCCTCCTCTCGCTCTGCTGCTTCCACCTTCCACCCTCACCTGCTCTCACATGTACACAATCCAAATCAGGGTTGATGCCGAGGCTGCTGGGAAATATCAGCACCTGTCTGAACATCACTAAAGTCTAAAGTTCAGAGGAGAGAGGAGCTGATCAACATGTTGATACTCTATAATCTGAGTCCACTTATTGTCTCTTCCTTAAGACTTCACAGAAATGGTTCATACAAAAACAAAAAACAATTGATAAGTGATTTACTACATTAATATGGAAGTGTATCAGCAGCAGGGACGCCCTGATCGATCGGTTGCCGATCGGCTGATTTTCATTAATAATGCATGATGGACAAATGTGAATTGATGCTTCTTGTCAGCGATCACCTTCAGAATGATCGGCTGTGGTTCACACTCTGAGAGAAGCTCTGTGTACTGTGTAGTGAAGCCCCGCCTCCCACCGTCAGGCCGCCAAAACAAAACATGTCTGCCGTGTGTGAGACTGATAGAATGAACGACATGTTCACTGACTCCTACGGTATCAGCTGATCTCACTCAGGTGATCGGTATTAGTGACTCCTCCTGCTGAGCAGAGGGAAGGCATTAACTGTCACAACAGAAAACAGCAACATGACAGACACGTCAGGTCTGATGACATCGCACAATCTGAAATGTTATTTTGAAATTAAAAATGTTTCAGTCTGTAAGAGATTATGCAAATTTGACATAATAAAAATGAAAAGGCAATAACTCAGAACAGTAAATACAGACTGATAACACGTTGAAGCGACAACACGGTCCTGAGATATTTATATATTCATACAAGAATTAAACACATCACCACACCAGGTTCTGGACCTGAACACACACACGTCCTGCTGAGCCGCAGCTTCTCCACCTCTCATTGGCTCATATGCCTTCTCCTCTGTCCAACCACCTCCACAGGTGCAGCAGCACTCGATGATGTCATCGCCCTCACCTGTGCAGGTCCAGACGCCGCAGTCGATGCCCCCTCCTCCCCAGCCGTCACCGCAGCCCCCCACCTCACAGCCCAACTCGGCCAGGTAGAGCATGAGCTGAGCTTCAGGTGAAACAAACTTTGACACCAGGTGTGACTCGAGGTTAACTCTGTCCCGCCTCCTCCCTCCAGCTCCGGTCCAACTCCGTCTCCAGGGGGTTTCCAACCCAGCCCCTCCCCTCAGCCCTCACAAAGCCCTGCCACCGCCCGCACCCCCCAGAACTACGGAGTCCCCTCTCCAGGACCCCTTAATACTCCAGGTACACACACACACACACACACACACACACACACACACACACACACACACATCACCAGCTGAGACCGACGGCGAGGATGTGACTGCCATGTTCTCGTGACGACGTGTCAGGAACGCCTCCAGAGAATCTCTTCAGATTTATTCACTTGAACTCAAGGGTGAGCTGATGAGAGTTTGACAGTCCAAAGGTCAAAGGTCACGGTCACTGTGACACCATAATGTTCTCCTGGTCATTTTTTGATGCTGTGACTCGGGAACAGAAGGAGAGGCTGTGACCCTCGTGTAACATGTAACACGCCAAGACCTACAGAAAAGCCTCTGGCCTCTCCCAACAGGAAGTCAGCCATTTTGAATTTACTCTGCAATTTTGGTGCAGTTTTTGTGAATTGAGGACGTCATACTCAAACAAACTCCTGATACACGTCATATTTGGTCAGTCTCATCTTAAGACCCTTTCAATGCTAAATTGTTAAGCTTTTTAGTTTTGGTCGGAGGTCCTGTCCATGGCGGCGCAGCGAATTTCAATGTTTCGCCATCAAACAGGAAATTATTATAACTCAAATATGAATTGTCCAATCTGCTCCAAACTTCACATGTTTGATGACAGTCCCTCACTGAGGACATCTGCATGCTCATATGATGTCATACTCATAGCGCCACCTACTGAAAACAGGAAGTAACCCTTGAGTAATCAATGTAATGCAGCTTTAATGGTAATCGTTGTTCATAAGGCTGCAGACTCTCCCTCAGCAGGAGTTTCCTCTTCTTGTGTGAATGTGATGTATTTGATATTTTCATCTGCAGATTCATATTATTTTTACAGTGTGTCCACTCACGTGGCTGAGATAATAAAGTACATGAGGCGGAGTATTTCCTGTGTTCAGCAGGATGTTTTTGTCTCCACCTTCTTCAGGATCTACGATCTGATACCAGAACGTGCTGCTGATTCAATGTGATTTAGCTGCTGACTTTGATACATTTACCTGATGGATTAAAGTTTCTTTAATGGTTGTTTTATTTCACGGAGATATTCCACAAAATGGCATCTTCTGTCACAGCTACAACTTTTCTCGATTGTGTTGTTTACCTCGGTTCCTGGGTCAGACTTGTCTCTGGGAGGAGTCTGTGTTAGCTGCTAATAAGCTGTTAGCTGCTAGTCGCCTTCTTAAATGAGTTACAAGGTTTGAGGCTGATGGAAGATGACGGAGTGGATCTCCATGTTCACTAAAAACCTGCTTTATAAGAAGTTTTTCTATTGCTACATTGCTAATGTTAGCATTGGCAGGTACCCATAACTACCCGTCTAGAGGGAATGTTCAAACTTCATTCCTTTACTCACCAACAGCTGTCTCCAAAGGTGGAGACAAACACCAGTGTTAACTCTTGTTGTTTACTGGAGTTATCATGCTAACCAGCTAACTAGCCTAGCCTGTCTCGTCACCTTCCCGACAGCGAGTCATTGTAGCGTCCAGTCTGTCCTGAAGAAGCAGCTGCTCAGAGGAAGTGAATGAATGTGAAGAGCTGTGAATAAATCCACCACAAGACACTTGACTTCTTCTTTCCTGTCCCTTCGCTGCCCTCACCTGTCCTCAGGTAACCCCAGCTCGGTGATGAGTCCGGCGGGGGCCACATCTCTGGAGGACCAGCAGTACATGGAGAAACTCAAACAGCTCTCCAAGTACATTGAACCTCTGCGCAGGATGATCAACAAGATCGACAAAAACGAAGGTCAGCCTCGCGTCTCTGTGGGTCAGTTCACAGACAAAATAATCAATCCACTGATCAATAACTTCATCATCAGACAGGTCTGTAATCAGCTCCTCGTTCTCATGTAACAACAGCTGTGCTTGTTTCAACAGACAGGAAGAAAGACCTGAGTAAGATGAAGAGTCTGCTCAACATCCTGACCGATCCAAACACCAGGTAACATCAACACAACCATCCACCTGAGTTTACTGTGTCTCCTCTGTGACCTCTGACCTCTGTATCCTCTGACCTGCAGGTGTCCTCTGAGGACTCTGCAGAAATGTGAGATAGCTTTAGAGAAGCTGAAGAACGACATGGCCGTGGTAAGTTCAAAGGTTCAAGCTTCTGTTTTTTTCTGGGGGGGGGGGGCAGTGACAGTTTGTGACAGTTTGTCTCTGTTGTTGCAGCCGACCCCCCCCCCTCCTCCCGTGGCCACCAAGCAGCAGTATCTCTGTCAGCCACTGCTGGACGCCGTCATGGCCAACATCCGCTCTCCGGTCTTCAACCACTCCCTGTACCGGACCTTCGCCCCCGCTATGACCGCCATCCACGGACCCCCCATCACGTAGGTTTCACCTCTGCAGCACATCTGGAGTCAGGTTAGATTCACAGGACGTTGACGAGTGTCTTGTCCTTTGTCCCTCAGTGGTCCCAACGTCTCCGGTCGGAAGAGGAAGCATGAGGAGGACGAGCGGCAGACCATCCCCAACATCCTGCAGGGGGAGGTGGCTCGCCTCGACGTCAAGTTCCTGGTCAACCTGGATCCTTCCTTCTGCAGCAACAACGGCACCGTGCACCTTGTCTGCAAGCTGGGTGAGGGCGGAGACCGGCGCCGCCACAGTCACTTCCTGTTGTACAGTCAGCTGTTGTGTTCACCTGTTTTAATGTTATTGTGTGTTTGTGTCTTCAGATGATAAAAACCTCCCCAGCGTTCCCCCCCTGCAGCTCAGCGTTCCTGCTGATTATCCCGAGCAGAGTCCGTACTGGGCTGACGACGGGGAGCAGTACGGTGAGACTCTACCTGACTCTACCTGACTGACTTTACCTGACTGACTTTACCTGACTGACTGTACCTGACAGACTTTACCTGACTGACTCTACCTGACAGACTCTACCTGACAGACTCTACCTGACTGACTTTACCTGACTGACTTTACCTGACTGACTCTACCTGACTGACTCTACCTGACAGACTCTACCTGATAGACTCTACCTGACTGACCTAACCTGACTGACTTAACCTGACAGACTCTACCTGACTGACTTAACCTGACTGACTTAACATGACTGACTCTACCTGACAGACTCTACCTGACTGACTTTACCTGACTGACTTTACCTGACAGACTCTACCTGTCTCTACCTGACTGACTCTACCTGACAGACTCTACCTGTCTCTACCTGACTGACTCTACCTGTCTCTACCTGACTGACTTTACCTGACAGACTCTACCTGTCTCTACCTGACTGTACCTGTTTCTACCTGACTGTACCTGTTTCTACCTGTCTCTACCGGACAGACTCTACCTGTCTCTACCTGTCTCTACCTGACTGTACCTGACTCTACCTGTCTCTACCTGACAGATTCTACCTGACTCTACCTGTCAGTCTCTACCTGTCTCTATCTGACAGACCTGTCAGTCTCTACCTGACAGTCTCTACCTGACTGACCTGATAGACTCTACCTTGACAGTCTCTACCTGTCCTCTGTGTCCCTCAGGTGCGAACAGCTTCCTACAGACGGTCCACAGGAACATGACGTCCAAACTGCTGCAGCTGCCGGACAAACACTCAGTGACAGAACTGCTCAACACCTGGGCTCAGAGCGTCCGCCAGGCCTGTCTGTCTGCAGCCTGAGGCCCCGCCCACTGCCCACCTGACCTCACCTGCTGCAGCCACAGTAACCCCACCCCACACACTGTTTACATGGACACTACAGTCTGACTCGACATCAGACCGTTCTCATGTCTGTGACTCGTCACTTTCAGACATTTTCAAACTTTAAAGGTTCTGGGTCAAACTGCAACTCAGACCACATGACTCAGCCTGGTAACAGACTGACAGGTGTGAGGCGTTCAGGGACTAAAGTGAGGGTGGAGGGTAAAAGGAGGAACTGAAACACTTTGGATCCAGCTGAAGGACCTAAAGAACCTCATGTTCAGACAAGAACTGCATCAAGATCTGCTACAAGGACACAAATCCCCTCCCCATTCACCCCTACAGCCACCGTCAGAAACCCTGTGACCTCAAAACCCCCAACACACCTTAAGAACCAGTTTAAGGACCCAATGAACCCCAAAATCAACCTGTAGAACCCCCCCAAGGACTAAAGGAACCCTTTAGTTGCAACTGCAAAAATCATTTCTGGAGAGAGAACCTTTCAAACACATTGACTGTACCTGGTTTTCGGTCTCACCTGTCAGACCTGTTTAACTGTCATAAATAATGTGGATGTGGGAAATTATCCAGCTGACGTCACGTAGTCTGAGTCTGACATTAGTCCTGAGTCCAGCTCCTCACCTGTCAGGTGTCAGCATCCAGGTTTTAGACGGAGCCACTCGCTTGTAGACAACATCTCCAGTCAGGAAACGTAAAGGGAAACGAGCAACAGCTCAGCTGTTAATTTATCCTGGCTTTTATTCTGCTCCCTGAACGCATCACGAGTTTGTTTCTGTTGCTTATTTAGTTGGAACGAGTTTCTGTTTGAGGTGTAATTAAGTTTTGTACCACAGAAGAAGATGATGATGATGATGTGTGGAAAAAGGTTTGTACACTTTGGTTCAAAGTGAAAATATAAATGTATTTTCTGCTTTTATAAATAAAAACTTGTCATTTGATCTTTTTAAATCCAGGAGTCAGTTTCACTGTTTGAGCCACTCAACTGTTTTAATGAGCAACTGAAACAGAGAAGAAGAATAAAGACATGAATGAGAGAGAAGCAACACGACAGTTAAACTACAGGATCAACAGAACTTGTGTGAAGGATGAAAAATCAATTAATCAATTAATGCAGAAATAAATACTAAATAAAAATATTTCTGTCTTTCTCCTGTATCAGTCCAGGCAGCAGTGGCAGATCAATCCAATCGATCAGTTATAACTAATCCTGCTTTAGCCTGAAGGGCCGCCTACTTCATTAACATACAGACACAGAAATAAATGTAGAAATACAGAGGGAACATTTATTACAAAATGTTTTTATTTTTACATGTATGTATTTATGCTTTAGTCATTTTTCATCCTTCACACACTCACACGTTCTCCAATCGCTGCCATTAAACCACAGAAGAAGAAGAGGTTGTGAAAAGATCTGGTCAGAAACCGTGAGGAAGGTTCAGCCTCTTCATGTCCCTCAGTGTTTATTCACGAAGTCAGTTTCACTTTGGTTTTTATTGACGCATCAACGTTCCCACCTCAGACCATCACGTCAGGTTCCTTTTTTATGTCCAAATGAAAACACATGAAGCACCTGGTGTGACGTCACAGGTGTGTGCAGGTAGATGAAACTTCACAAAGAAATAATGAAAAGTAAAAAAAAAATGTTTGTATAAAATGACAAAAATATTTTATTATCCTCAGAATAAATGACAAAGTGTGTGTGTGTGTGTGTGTGTGTGTGTGTGTGTGTGTGTGTGTGTGTGTGTGTGTGTTCAGAAGCTGAGTGAAAACGCTCTGTACGACAGGTTGGTGAAGACGTCGATGTGATCGCTGCTGCCTCCGACCGTCAACACCTGCACACAAAACACACATTGAACTTCAGAGCTTGTCGTCATGGAAACAGACTCGTCCATGTCCGCCGCTGTTTATTAAAGATCCTTTAATCCTGTGTTTAATTGGAACTGCATGAATCAGACGAAACCTGATCTGAATCTGTGAGGTTTGTTGAAAGATTAATAATGATAATAATAATGTGATGTCAGTACTTGTACGGCAGTACTCTGTTGTACTGGTACTTCTACTGCAGTAAAGTATCTGAAATGAGGACCAGAGACCTTCCTGTATAACTAACGGTGAGGGCGTGCTGCGTTCAGGGACTCACCCGGTGCTCGGTGCTGTTGGTGTTGAGCTGCAGGGTGTTCAGGCTCTGTGAGGAGCAGGGGATCTGAGCTTTGACCTCTCCCCCCAGCAGACAGTGAGACACAGACTGACCCTCGCCCACAGCCAGGATCTGCAACAGAGACAGGTCAGGGTCTTTGAACACACCACCACACCTGAGGATGCTTCAACAATAATTAAGTGTTTTCTTCTTCTCACCATGTCCTGGTAGAAGGCGGCCTGTCGCTGGCAGCCGCTCAGCGGGAAGGTGGAGGTGGGAGACAGAGAGCGCAGGTGCCACAGAGACAGAGACGGACCTCCACCACACAGCTGCAGGACAGAAGACACCGTTCAAGTGTTGAAGATCAAAACTAAAACCAGAGCGAGGAGAAACTCTGCAGTACATGTTTTCTCCCAGCAGGACTCGAGCGCATCATGTGTGTTTTCTTACCATCCAGTCAGAGTCTGTCGTCAAACAGCTGATCCATTTACCAAACTGAGGCCGTGCACATTCCTGCAGCAAACACACCTGACTCAGGTTACTCTCAGTACAGGAGAACAGATGAGAACAGATGAGAACAGGCGAGAACAGGTGTCTCACCTCGTACTTGTAGACCTCGATGCAGTGGACCGTCTGTCCTGTCCTGCTGTCTGAGGGACAGAGACATCAGCTGTTAAACCACAGGCAGGTGTTTCCTCTCTCACCTGGGACACACCTGCTCCCTCACTCACCCCAGATCCTCACGGCTCCGTCCTCCCCCCCCGACAGGATCTCGGCCTCCCTCTCCCTCACACTCACACAGTGGACGTAGTCCGAGTGTCCCTGCAGGACGGACTGAGGGACAACAGAGTCGCAGTCAGGGTTCAGGTCTCATCAGATGGACCAAAGCTCACAGTGATGTCATTCATCAGAGACATGTCTCTTGTCTTTCTGTGTGGGGGGGTCTTTATAGGAAGGGTGGGGGCCTGTTACTTCTCTGATGGATGGAGACGACTCTACACGTTTGTTGTCATGACGACAGAGGAACACAGAGGTCAAAGTGTTAAAACCTGACAGACCTTGAAGACGCCGTGTTCCAGGTCCAGGATGTGGATGTTGTTGTCTCCTCCACCGACGACCAGACTGTTGTCCTGAGAGACAGAGACACAGACGCAGAAACAAAGACGGAGTGACAGAGACAAAGAGATGCAGCAGAATGATCCTGGACATTCAGTCAAATAAATTTTCATTTACATTTGTCATTGTGTCTCTGTATGTCTCTCAGAGTGTCAGTGAGTGTCTCAGCATGTGTCTCAGCATGTCTCTCAGTGTGTCTGTGTGTCTCAGCGTGTGTCTCAGAGTGTCTCTCAGAGTGTCTGTGTGTCTCAGTGTGTCTCTCAGTGTGTCTGTGTGTCTCAGTGTGTCTGGGTGTCTCAGCGTGTCTCTCAGAGTGTCTGTCTCTCACTGTGTGGACTGTGTGGACTCACTCTGGGGTTGATGATCATGGAGTTGATCTCCGGGATCTCCAGACTGGACCTGAGGATAGAGACAGACAGTGACTCCAGTGTGGTGCTAAGGGACAGAGGACAGGGACCTGGTGTGTGCTGTCTCTCACTTGTAGTTGGGTCTTTTTGTCCACAGAGGTTTGACATTCTGAGGAGACAGGAAGTCACACATCAACTGATTTGATCAGATCACAGTTAGAGGACCAGTTTGAACCCGTCCACATGGACGTGACTGTCATTTTAGGACAGATGTCAAACTGTCCTTTAAAGTGAGACAGACCTTCTTGATGAGCTCGCTCCAGCTCCAGGCGCTGACCTCTCCGTTTCCTGCACTCAGGAGGCGACAGTCGGTGGACAGGAGAGAGAAGACCGGACCCTCGTGAGCTGAAGGACACAAGAGGACAGAAGTCCTTCATCACTGAGCTTCACTCATTAAGACTGGTCGTTAGGACAGAGACTCCAGCTATGAGACATCAGTCTTTATTTCAGGAAGTTTCTCAATGTGTGTGTCTGTAGGATGCTTTCGTTCACGGTGAAACAACAATGAGACATTTGGTCTGTTGTTCAGTAAATGAACCACGTGTCAGGATGGAACAGGAAACAGCGTGAGTGAAAACAACAAAATAAGTTTTTTCAGTTTCCCTCATTAGATAAAGTAAAAACAGGATACATGGAGCAAACCCCAACTCCAACCCCAACCAACAGAACCCCAACCAAACCCCAACCAAACCAAACTCCTAACCCGACCAGCCAAACGAGTGAGTTCATGTGTTTCAGGTGAATTAAAGGAGGAAGACCCAGGTCAGGACTCACCAGTGAACGTTAGAACAGGTTTCTGACTCAGTCTGGTGGCATCTGGACTCAGAGCGGCAGACAGACTGAAACAGTTCAACACAACCATCATGAACTACACATCATCACATACTGGTAACACAAGGTCAGTCAGGTGTGTTGGTCTCACCTGAAGAGTGCGATCTCTCCATAGTTGTTTCCTGCCGCCAGGAATCGACCGCAGGGAGAGAAACTCTGAGAGAAAACTGACATGTGGAGAAGCTGCAGAAGAAGAAACACAACACACGATCCGTCTACACATGATTCACAACATTTCACAGACGGGGAGGTTTTAAAGAAGATCAACAACGTGGTCTGAAAGACACAGTGATGAAAAGCATCAGAGTGAAAACAGCTGCAGAGCTGATGTGATCCTGTCCTGTAGAAACTGTTTTACTGTGGCTCCATCTGATGGTCGTGTCAATAAAGACACAACATCAACATCACTGACTGTGTGTGTGTGTGTGTGTGTGTGTGTGTGTGTGTGTGTGTGTGTGACAGAATGGCAAAGATATGCAGTCGATCAGAAGAAAATGAATCTGACACTATTTTGATAATCGATCAATATTTTATTTATGTTGATGTCAGTGTTTGATTTGGTTCCAGGCTCTGACATCACAGAAAACTCATCATCTTATTGGTCAAATACAAAAAGATATTTGAAAACAGTTTTCTGTTGTTTTACAGAACAAATAATTGATCGATTAACTGAAACTATTAATTGGCAGATTAATTATATTATGTTATTATTATTATTATATTATGTTTAAATTAATCTTATTTTAGTCTAATGTGTTCTGTATCATTTTAAAGGGAATATAATTGGCTCTCATTCATAATCAAGAGGATTAGAGCCACATGTGAAAAAAATGTTTTTTTATTCTGAGATTAAAGTCAGAATTTAAAAAAGTAAAATTTTTCACATGTGGCCCTAATCCTCTTCCGTACATCCAGGCTCAGTTGTAAGTCTTTCTGTTATATACTGAAAATAATAAACCCTTATACACAATAAATACATTTGACGTATCACTATAACCACTACCCGAATTATCCACTGGACTCTGTTTAACGTGAACACGTATTAAATCTTATTGTACGACGTGAAGATTTTTACTAAAGAGCAAGAAAACATTAATTTCTGATAATTGTGAAGGGAGTTTGGTCTGAGTCTCTGTGAGTTCCTCTGAAGACGAGCTCAGGCAGCAACAAGAGATCAAACCGATAAACACCCGACACTAATCAACTTATTCTGAGCTACCTAATCAATACAACATAATTACATCACATATTATCGTTACTGGCCTCATTTCAGACAACACAACACAAAGCGCCAAACAGCGACGAGCTACGAGCAGATTTCAGTCTAAAATAACGAGTTTCTTCACTTCCGGTCAGAAGCGACGGTTTTACAGACATGACCAGTTTTACCTCGACAGGACCCATCCTGCTGCACGAGCACACACCGAGCCGCTGCAGAACCGAACCGGTGTCCGAGGGAACGCGACTCAAACACGAACGGTGCAGAGAGGGAAAAGGGTTGAATCAAGACGCGGAAATATGACGTCTTTACTGACGCAAGGTTTTCTGGGGGATGTAGTGAGAGAATGAAGTAGATTTGTGACGTGTTGTTTAGGCCACAGTGAAAATGTATTTATAAATAGAACAGAAGTAAAAAAAAAGGAATATATAATAAAAATTGAAAAAGGATATTTTAGATAGTTTTTTTTATTATTTTTCGGGGCTTTTTATGCCTTTATGACAGCACAGGAGAGAGAGACAGGAAATGGGGAGGCAGAGAGAGGGGGATGACATGCAGTAAAGGGCCGTCCGATGCGGGACTCGAACCGAAGCCGACTGCAGCGACTGTGGCCTCTACACATGGGGCGCCTGCTCAACCCACTGCACCGCTGGACACCCTATATTTTAGATAGTTAGATTAGCTGTATTTTACTACACACACACACACACACACACACACACAGAGAGATCACTGTGTGTTTCATTCATTAGTCAGTTAAAATAAACATGTTTTTATTCAATGTTTCACCTTCACAACAACAAAATATAAAGAAATATTAAATGTTAATCTGTTATTGTGACATTTAAACTGAAACACAGTAAATGTGTGTATTTGTGACATTTGAACTCTGAGATGAGAACGTGACCACATCGGACCAGGACTACAGACCGGCTCACACTCCCTCCACTTCATCCTGAACTTGAAGATCTGCTTTTGGCTTTTTTGAACCGTCCACCTGGAACTCACTACAAATGTTTTTCATTGTAGGTTCTTAATCTCAAACCTTTGAACTTCTGTTTGTACCTGTTTTAATTGATTCTTGTCATTACGTTATTTATTAATTGTATTTATACATGTATGTATATGAAACTGAAACAGCATAAAAGGATATTAATGATAATAAAAGAGACTGAACCAGTTACAGACAAACATGGAGGGGTTTTTGTTATAAAAGACATGAACCTGTTGTAGGAGAACCTTGTCCAGATGAGTCCAGATGAGTCAGTACAGACCAGAACACACCTGCAGTAGCTGTACCAAGGACCAAGTGTCCCTCAGGTGCAACCATGGATTTTAAGTGTAAAAGTAGCAGAAAACACCTCCATATGAAATCCTATACAAATACTGAAGTGAATGTGTTGTGCTTGGTGTGTCAGAGGCCACACAACATGAGCTAACATCATCAAAACAAACAAAAACACAAACCTCATACGCAGATCTGAGTTTCATTTATTTAAGCAGGTCGTCTCATCCGTTTTTTATTTACTGAGAACAATCAGAAAACTCATGGGGAGACTGGAAACGGTTGATAACTGTCCTGAAGCTGAGCAGCCGAATCACAACCGTGTGTTTCAACACTTTTAATTCAAAATAATGAAAAACATGCAGCTGATTTTGTCCCATAGATCAACAGACACGACAATAACTGATCATTTTAACACATCAGAGGAAACACAAGTTCATTAGTGAATTACTTTGTTCCTCTCATGGTCTCATAATATATTCACCTGCTCCGTTCATCATAAGCAACAAAATAAATTGTGACTATTATGACTCTAGGAGGGTTCTATGTTCTACACAAAACATAACTCAGTAACTGTTCTTTGATAAATATCATTACATAAATTAATAATACTATAATATCATTGTCAGACTGTATATTTTCAATATACTATACACTATACTTATTGAGACAAAGAGCAAGTGGTTAATTATTGAAATTGAATGCGTTTTTAATATGTTGCAACCGTCCCTGATTATGTAATATATGACATACAGTATAAACAGTATGTCCCTACATGAAAAGTGATGTCACCTATAAGGAGATATATTACTATCTCATATATACATCCTCTGGATATATGAAGGTATTATAACATATATGAAATACTAGAGTAAAATTTGTACATATATTAAAACATTTTTTGATTAATTTTTATTTGGTAAAACAGGTTGAGATCATTTTTGTGAATGATATATATTTAATTTATATATGCACGTTTATTAAAACAACTTACAAATATACATTCTTTATGCTTATAAATTATATTAAACATGTTTATCTTCACATTCTGAGAAAGTATAATATATATTATAATATCAACATGTATTAACAGGCTTTATATGTAACACACGTTTATAATATAAACATACATACATATTTGTATGGGCTGGATATATATGGAATTGTTTGTTTACATATGTTTTTATTTCATATGTACATATATTACATGTGTGTATGGCTCTGTTGTAACCGTCCTCAGGGTGGGGGTCAGCTGCAACCTCTGAATACTGACATATAAATACAGTGAATGATCTGTCGCGTGATCATCTGTAAATGGTGTGGCTCATTATCAGACAGGTGTGAGTTTCAGGTGAAGGTTTGGTTTGTCTCAAATAAATCAAAAACTGTTCCAACCTCACCTTAGGTTAAACCAGGTTAACTCTCCATCACCTGCACTGACAGCTGGAGAAGGGAACACTTTAGTACAGGAGCCACAGAGGGTCAGAACAGGTGAGTCAAGGAAAAATGAATCACTAATCGATTCATTGATAATGATCGGTGGACTCGGGAACCTCACCCCGTGGATCTGAGGATGCACGAGCCTCCGTTTGATGATGATCTGATAAAATGACCTCGGAGTGTCATTTGCCCCACGTTCATCCAGCAGCAGCAGCAGCCGCCTGGCTCGGCTCGGCACGGCTCGGTTATTCCCAGAGGCTGTGGGGCCAAATTGCATCAAGTCTGTGTTGGTCTCAGATCTGCATCAAAATGGACTCAAACGACACGAGCGGGCTCTGGGAGACGTGAACCGAGCCCCGGTGCGCTCCGGGAGAGACCGTGACCCGGTGTGAGACTCACAGACCGAGGAGCTTCTGTCGCTGCTGAAATTTTATTCTGCGCATGATGACGCGTTGCTGTGTGCGCTCCGCTCCGGCGCCGCTCGGCTAGCAGCGGCAGCGGCAGGAAGTATGCTGTCGAAGCGGCGGTGGGGAAAGACCCGAGAACCAAAAGTCGGTGGTTGAGCAGGAGGAGGAGAAATAACCATGTCTAATCCGTGACACTTGCACATTTTGCACCTCCACGCCGTCACATCGCTCACCTCGCGGGCGCAGAGGCCAATTGAGGGGTAAGTGTGGAGCGTAAAACGACAGAAAAACGAGGTTTTCCGTGAGCGGGGGCCGCGGTGTGTTTGTCGAGATCTTTGTGTAGCTCCGGGCTAGCCTCGGGATGCTAGGGCTAGCTGTGGCGCTAACCTCTGCGAGCTCCTGCAGCGGCCACAGTTTTCAATTAGGACAACGTGAATTTATTTTACGGGAAAATAAATCCCAGATTGTGTCTAATCCACGCGGCTCCGTTTTTGCATTGTTTGTGTGTTTTGTTTGTCATTTTTTTGTTTTGAACTTCCGTTTTATCCCCTTTCTCTCATCGCGGGGGGCTGTTAACTAGCCAGGCGCTAATGCTAACGTTAGCTCGGCCGTGTATCTGCCTGTTTTCAGCTCTTATCCACAAAATGCTTTTTTCATATAAAATGTTAAACTGTTCCGGGTTTCTCTCGCTGTTAGTTTGCACCGTATTTTCAGTAAGTGGACTCTGCTCGGCCTCCGCTTGTAGCTAGCGGGCTAGCAGCTTGTGTTTGTGGGGGTAAGAAAGAGTGAAGCTAGTCCGTTAGCATGGGGGGAAAATGGCTCGCTGCTCGAAAGCCATTTTCCGATGGAGATGGGGTCTCAGTGAAAGTGGGCTGATGGCTGTAGGTGTTGTCCCGCTCTGCTGGGAGCTTCATGTCGGATATACACGGCTAAACTGAGACGATTTTCCACGGTTAACCCCCCTCTGTTCTTCTCCTCGGCCGGCCGGGCTTGGGTGTTTCTCCCCCGGTTAAATCGGGGAGTCGGCCGAAGGAAATGTCGGCCGTGTGGCGGCGGAGAAGATGCCCCGCTTTGTCCCGATAAATTCATGCTGGGGCTGAACCCTACCGAGAGGAGACGGGCCAAGGTCAGGGAGCCCTGCTGCGGCTGTGACGGCTCCTTCTCCGCCACATCCACCTCTCACCGGCCGGAGTAAAATTTAATTTGCAGATTTGGAGTAAAATGTGGAGAATTAACGGCTGCGGGGTGAATAGTTGAAGCCGAGGAGGTTTCTGTTGGTGTGAACAGACCCGGGTTATTTCTGCTCCGGGGGGAAAGAGTGTTAATCCGGGCTACCTGGAATAACGGTAGGACCACAAACAGTCGCATGCGTCGGATGTATTGGTGAATAAAGCGCGGGTTAATGAGCCGGGCTCGGTTTGTTTACTTTATCTGGGCTGAAGCTCAGAGGAGAAAAAAAGTTGGACGGAAAAGAGAGAAAGGATTGTGATTGGCTGCTCAGCAGAGGCCTGATTCAAATCTGTTTGTGAATGAGATGCTTCATTTGTAAAATGTGAAACTGGACTGTTGGAGATAATTAAACTTTTCAAAATAAGACTGTTGATGTAGCAGGGAAAAGAGTAATTTAAACCGCACAGGAAACAAAGACTTAAAGTGGGATCAGGACACACAAATGAAAACAAATACACATTAAAACATTTAAAATTGATCAGCTGTATACAGCACATTATTGATTAATCAGCTGATTATTGTCAGTTTAATAATTTTGTCTATAAAATGCTAAAGAAATGTCTCCTTTGATTCATGTCACTGTTGTTTGTGAAAGAGAAAAACAGCAAATAACAGTTGAAGCTGGAACAAGGTGTTGATATTTAATCTTAAAATTTCACTAAAACAACAATTCTTAATCAGAATAGTTGCAGATTAATGTTTGTCGATGAATGAATTGATTAATTGACTAAAAACTGCAGCTGTAGTTTGTATATGTGAAAAACCAACTGCAGTTTTCTGACGTTCCAGGTCAATGAAACATGGTAGTTGCAGTATATTTGAAATATATATTTATACATGAATAAACATAAATGAAGTGTATAAAATGATATAACAAACAACAATAAATATCAGAAAATG